TACACGCACATATCGGGTGTTACCCGTAGATTAAATCACCATGCTAATTATATTCTTATTACGTAACATCCCAAATATCTTTTAAAATTAAATACTTTACGCTCGCTTTTCAGCTAACACAAAACTTCAAAATATATAAGAATGACACGTTCTCACTATATAAGATAACATATAACATACTTATATTATGTATGTTAATTCTAAACATTTTCCAATTTTCTATTAGACATAGTATTTCAATAATTGAAACTAGCTGGGTTCTTAGAATCTTTAAAAGCAAATGCTTGTTCATAGAGATGTATTTTTAAACAATCCTCCGCTTTACGGTTATTTAAGGAACATTAGTGCAATTTTCATATATTATATACTGCTCATCACACAAATGAATACTGCTTATCACACAAATGAATACCCTCAGCGGGATTCGAACCTGCGACTTCTGGTACAGCAAGTAAGATCACTACAAACTGTGCCAAACGTGTCGTTAAGGTATGTATTAGTTTCAGAGTTTAACCGATTCCACAATTCGTTCTATAAATACGATCTCTGTCTTAAAATTATTTCAATTTATGTAATATTTGGGAATATTAATCTAAATAGTTACTTATACATGTGTATATTAAAAAATAAATAAAGATATACATACATTATCAATACAATCGACATTCAAGTAACAATAAATAATAATCAATCAATAAACAAATGGCTATGAACTTCCAAGAGGGTCACATTTTTTTTGTATCATAAAATACATGCTATCTCTATTATACATGTACGAAAAAATATGTTCGTTTGTGTTAAGAGATTAATCTCTGCAACTACTATAGAGTCAACATGCTGTAATAATACAAATTGTCTTTTCTATTATTACAGCATTCTTAGCATTGAAAAACTAGTTAATTATATAAAATATAAACAAAACATACAAAATAAACATTCAGGTCACTTTTAAAGACCTATATTCAAACAAATGTTACGTAATAAGATTATAAATTCGAAATAATTTAAACATCCCTATTATATTGACAATAATACGCTATATGACGATATATTTGCTATCATTTAAAGAATATTTACAACGATTCTAGTTATGTTTGAGATAGAATACTACGAAGGAAACATGGCAATTACACTATTTAAATAAACTCTGAAGAAGATAACAAAAAATAGCAAAATCTTTGTAAAGTCAACTAACATTAATAAAAGTATCACAGCCTAGGTAGCTAAAGAAATATAATTTAAGATAACTTCACGCTGTACCCATAAAGGGAAGTCTTTTGCCTTCAAATAGGTGACTTATCGCTCCCTTTGCTTCCGGTATCTTTTCCTTTTCGTACTCTGTGGCTCAACATATAAGACTAGGTGAATATCTGTATGATTCATACAAATATTTTTCTATGTTTTAATCATTATACGTTAACGCCACAAAATACATTCAAAACGTGAAAAATATACAGAATAGCTTAGCCACGCAATCTCGTACCTTCAAATAAATTAGTTGGTTGAACTGATCTGGTTTAGACAAAATAAACTTTTTGTAATTGATTTTATCATGCTTTAACACCTCCAGGTAAATTTCTAAGAAATTAATTCAAATTATAAGAAACCTATTGTTAACTGACACACCGGCGTGTCTACGGTCGTGGAGGGATTAAATTTATTATTATGATATACAAAAAACATTTGATGTACAAAGACGACTCCTTAGTAAATAAGAAAAATACACTAATAAATGTGTCTTTAGTCAAGTCAGAATTTTCATTACGTTATTTTGAATATTAAGTTAAACTCAAATGGTTACATTAAATATCTAGGCTATACACTGATCTACTTACGAATAAAGTTAATATTATATATTGCTGTGAACATTGAACTTGGCTATATTAGTTCAATTCAAGACTTCTATGAGATTTATAAGTACGCAGACAAAATATTTACAAGTTTAAAGTTTATGAAAGAAGCTAATACAATAAAATTTATAATTCCTGTCATGAACATTCATTTCCAGATAATTTTCCCATTTTACATAAAACATCAAAAATTGTAGACAAATATCTATTAAAATCGAGCAAAACATTGAATGATCAATATAATATTAAGTTGGACGGATTCAACCGAATAAACGAAATTCAATTGGGTAAATGAATTAAATATAAATAAAACTTCGGGTTGTTAATTTCATTCGACATCCACATTTATAATAAGATATGACTTTATTTGTTGTTATATCTAAAAGATTCACAACCATTTATTATTACTTTTTTACACTTATCTGTTGCCACCTGTACTTTCTGATGTTATGTTTATGAATGCTTGTTGCTGACTGTACTTCATAATATAAAAATGTATTTTATAAGCATCAAGTATACTATTACTTTATTTAAAATCACCAACCTTTTTAAACGCTTCCAGTTTTGAATTGGCAATGTTAAACTTGCTGGATATAATCCAAGTGATTATGTATTTAAACATACAGATATTTTACAATAAAACTCGCTAGTAAATTTACGAGGCTATGAACCGTTCCTTGTCTTTTTGTAACAAAATATAGCCAAAAGCTTTTTTATTATCATTTAAAATTTCAGAAAAACAAAACATTTTTTTTAATACTTGGACATTAATAATAGGTGGCAACCCTATACAGTCCAAGACACTTAAAATGAAAATAGATATTACACGTACACATATTACAATTATATAGGTTGTGTTAATTTTGTTAATATCACTATAATTTTTATTCAATACTTTACAATTTGAGCCTTATACTTATTTCAAAGGAAGACACATTGACATTTAATAGCTACGTCTCATAAAGGCTGTATGAAGTTCAATTGTTTTTTTTTAATTACAAAGAAATTACAGTAGTAATATTAAGCACTGAAGTTTTCTAGTCTTTGGCTACTTTTAAAGTATTAAGTCATAGGTAATACTGGACTATATATTATCGTTTAACAATTTAATTTATACAGCCTCTAATATAAAGACATGAGATCGCAGAATTTCAAGCGAAGAACTATACGGACATTGACAGACAGATTTATGAGGATTAAAGATGAACATCAAAAATATCAAAACACGATATGCTTTACGAATTTTGAGCTAAAATGCTAATACCATTCAATCTACCATCAAAAAGTCAAATAGAGGTAACACTATATCATGCTGTATAGTGTATACATATTATTATGTATATATATTGTATTTTAGTTTGAACCTGCTATTCCTAGATTAAATTTTAGAAGATGCATAATGTTCTAGGTTAGATAAGTATCCGGATTAAATATATTTATATAATTATATAAACAGAATAGAAGTTAAGGTTTCTGTCTATAGGTATTGTATGAATCATATATGTTGATCCGTCTATAGGTCTCATATAACTATAACTAAGGAACTAACGTTGTGCCTAAGCTTAATTATTATTAATTTGAAGGTGTCAAAGTTGTCTTTCGATTGTATACAACAGGTTCAAGAAAGTACAATTTTTGACTATTATATTCACAGCTAGTTTTACATTTAAATAGGGAGAAAATTTAGAAATATATTATATTTTTCAATGAATTCTAATAATTCATTAGAAAAATTTTTTTATGGCATTTTGCTCAAAAAGATTCGCAAATCGATTAAGTTAGGTTAGTATTACAATGACTATATAATAAACATATTATTATCAACACGACACAAACACATCAAAATCTAAACGGTCTGTTATAGTTAGAACAACGATTACTTTAAAACTCGATTTTTTTCTATTGAAGCGTTATTTGTCCCCATAATCATTATCATATCACTCTACTAATGTTTAAATGAATTAATTATACAGGATGTGAAAATGGTGATTTAAATTTAAATAATCATATTGTATACCCTATATAATACAGACTATGAATATTTGTATCTGGAAAAATTAGTGAAAGTAAAATAAGATTTTATTATCATTATTTTCGTTTATGACAATATCACCATCCACCCTGTATAATCTCTAAATTAATTTAAACCTACGAATTTATCTACAATCTTAAGTTTATTTACAGAGATTTACCGCTTACCAAGTAAAGGGTTTTTATTGGTACGATTTCAAATTAAATTGAACAAAAACTTTCTCCTGTTCATTACTAAACGGACTTTGAAGTTGAATTGATGAGTTCTATACCTTATCATTCTAAGAAATTTTCAGAATTCTAAATAGGGGCCTATTCGTACATTATACTAAAGAATTCGGCGCCCTTACTATTTAGTTTGAACTGGATTTCGAAAAGTTACCAATAGTATAAATATGGTTTTAAATTTTCAAATAAGGACTATTTCAAACATATAGATAGATTTTGATATCATACGTAATTTTTCGTAGTTTATCTATGCTTATTGCTATTCTCAGTTAAAGAGGCATGCAGATTTTTAAGTCTTGGATTGTCAAATACTAGATTTAATGTCGATTTTGTTTTCTAATTGCTAACTCTAATATTAAATATAACTGAAAATAAATATGAAAGGTTGTGTTTTTTCTTCAAAAATATAGGTTGTTCCATTTCACAATAACTGTTAAAAAGCAAGTAAATCTGAACTAAAATAAATTATACTACTTATTGCTATGAATCCTTCTTTATAAACTAATATAAATATTACGTTCTATAATAATAAATTAGATATATTTATATCATGACACATATACACTAAATCTCTATACTATTTACATATAAGTCTAATATGTACAATTATTTTGGCCTCAAGTGTATAAAACTTTAAGTTTTAGGCCTACAGCTTTTGGAATACTAATTTTAAAATCTATACAAAAACTATTTACAGGCAATATACAAATTTCTACTACTACTTACCTAAAAATAAATTCAAACATAAGTTGTCAGGCAAAATAATTACACTATATTAATATATAACTATCGAATTCAATATTTACAATCGTTTCACATTCACTTATATATTTCGTTGGATCACTAGGCCCGTCACACGGCAGTCACTTGATCGAAATTTGGCGATATTCAAAGGGACGCCAAATCTGACGCACGTCTTGAAGGGACAGGTACCCTTAATTGTGCAGAACCTCGTCTGTCTAACCTCTCCATGGCCTCCAAATCTGATGCTCGTCGACGACAGAAGCTACAAAACGCACACGCTAACGTATTTTTGAATGCATTACGAAAGTCTCTGTTAAAGTACGCGTAAATAATCGGGTTCAATGCAGAATTAAAATAACCAGTCCAAAACATTATAACTGTCACGACTTCAGGATATTCACACGAGTCACATAAAGATGTTGATACGTAAAACAGGAAAAATGGCAGCCAGCATAAGATGAAAGCTCCCATAATGATTCCTAAAGTCCTCGCCGCTTTATGTTCTCTTTTCATCTTAAGTATATTTCTGTCTTTAGTGGGAGTTGTAGCGTTGATATGTAATGCCCCGTTCTTATCGCCAACTTCCCTCGAATGGCGATGCATTAGCATAGCATTACCAGCTCTGGCATGAAGTGCCTTCTCCTGTCTATTAGCTTCCTTGAATATAGCTAGATAGGTGAATATCATGATGGTGCAAGGTATCCAGAAGGATATCGAGCTAGATATTACAGCATATGGCTTATTGACTTTGAACTCGCACTGGTCTGGTGATCTTTCTCTTAAGAACTGACTGGTTGTGTACCATCCCATAAATATTGGGGCATAAGATATTGTTATTGGACTAAGCCACGTTGCTGCTAACATGACGAATGCCATCTGCAAAAGATAATTAATTTTAATCGGACTACTATTTTAAAAGTAAAAGTTTGCATGTGTTTGTGTTTGTTTGTCCATGTACTAAAATGGTTGGGCGGATTTAGATAAAACTCAGTACATAGATAGATTATGATCTGGAGTAATACATGGGCGTTAGGCTAGGGACACACTTGAGTCCCCCCCAACGTGCGTTCACCTTGTCGTGGTGGGGGGGCTCAGTAGTGCCCGGCAACCCAACCGGGCGCGAAGCCAAGAAACGCACAGGGAGGTGGCCCACTCCGGTGGGCGGTGGGAGGTGGTCCTCTTCGGAGGGCAGTGTATCATGTGGGTTGCTCCTGGTACTTCTCTGATAGCAGAGTGGACTGTGGAGCAACCCCGTGGTTGTTGTGGTCTGCTTCGGCAGACCTGCCGTCGGGGCGTCGTAGTTGAATGCGTAAGCGATCCTGCGACGCCCCTTTAAGACGGGAGAAGGTTTTGTTGGGTTTTAGTGGGTAGTACTGGCCTTGCCGGTGAGTCCCACACCTCGTGCGTAAATGTATTTCCCAACGTTAAAAAAAAAAAAAAAAAGGGACACACTTGAGTGAAGGGAGGGAAAATCGCAAGTTAATAATAATAATAATAATAATTGGCACATCTCCATATTATTTAATATTGAAGAAAGTAAGCGGCGATAACATAATTAAACCAGGTTATATAATGTCAAAGTAAGTGAGGAGATAGAATAAACTTAAAGCTTTTACTGAATTCTCCACTTTCAGGTGAATTTAGGATAATGGATTCTATGTAGCAGTTCTCAATGCCATGCTTTTGCTTAAGCGAAATCATTTGCTTCTAGATAAAACTATCGTGCATGATAAAGGCTATATTTCAAAATGAGAATTAACAACATAAATATTATCTATAGTGCCTTTAAAAGCTTTTTGCTATTAAAACTTGGCTTACTTATATATGGCTTGTAAAATTTTGTTAGAATTTCTAAACGTTTAAAGTTAGCTTTCTTTAAGTAACCCTACTAATCTTTAACAAAGAAAAGTTTACAAAACGATTATTTGAACAAATACACTTAAATAGATAATACGCTTCAAGTTTGTAATTTTAATAGACTTACAAGTTAAAATTAAAATTTAATTTGAGGTTTTAAACCTTTTATACTTGTTATTACTTTAAGGTCATTTAAACAATTTATTTGTATAAATATTAGATATAATAAAGCATGTATAGCTATATATGCACATAATATGTATGTACTAAATATTATCTTTGGATATATTGTGTGTTAATATCCCAACATAAAAAAAAAATATTTTTAATCGGCTCCAAAATAATTAAAAAATATTTAAACTCACAATATTTTTGTACAAATTTCAAGTATAATCAAATTTGAAATCTATGGTATCAAAAAAATAAAAAATAAATAAAAATTAAATTTAATTTGGGATTACTGTACGCCGCAATCATTAGAAGTATGAGGATAGTGCTTGAATATGAAACTTACTAAAATACTGACCTTTTTCGTCATCTTAATCGGATACTTCAAAGGTTTTACAATAGCATAATATCTATCGACGGATATACAGCATAAATGTAAAATCGACGTCGAAGTGAAGTATACATCTGACGAATTCCACAAATCGCATATCACTTGACCGAATATCCATTCATTATAAAATTGCACACTAAAATTGAAAGGCATTACGACCATCGCGACGAGAATGTCAGCAAATGCTAGCGATACTACAAAATAGTTCGTTATGACCCGAAGTTTTCTGAAAAGAATAATTTATATTATTATATTATTACGTTATAACTCACATATAATTATAAAAAAATAATAATTTAAACATCATATAACGTGGAAGACCATTTTATAAGCATATAATGCAGATCATATTGGATTTTGAATATATGTAACTGAATGAACTGCAACTTTATTAAGACAGTCCATCATGAACAACTTTGAACTAGTTAGACTCCTAATATTATTATAACGATGACTGCCTTTTTAGTCAAGTAGTCAGCTAGTACGGTAGCAGACTTCGGACTTTTTGTGGAAGAAATAGAAAGTGCACTTGGCTCTTGAGTTTGCGCACATACTCTCAATTATTATATAGTATTCTCAATTAGATCGGGTAGTAGACATGATATTTAGTAAAAATGTAAGTAATGATTTAGTACTAAATAAATTATTTGAATTATACAAATAATATTTTTAGTTAAATGCGATCTTCCATATATTTTTTTCTGGATGAAATTATTTCTAGAAAAGTAAATACAAAGTACCTCTTAACTTTGGAATCGGTCAAAACCAACATACCTATGTCTCATAACACTGACAATAACTAGCATGTTCCCCAACACAGCCATGATCACTATAAGTAGCAGCACGGCTGTGCGCAGCTTGAACATTACTGCCTGCGTCCATTCCGGATCGACGCCCGTCTCGTTGTTAGTCCCGTTGCGGGTAGCGTTTACTTGATCCATATGGGGTAGTCTGTTAATAATATTAATATTATAAATGAAAATATTTGTATGTGTGTCTGTTTGTGATTATTTGCAAAAAGGTTGAACGAATTTGGATGAAATTAAGTACCATCTGGAGTAACATATTTCAAGCTACTCGTCGCCTTAGTGCTTACTTGTTCAAACGACCAAAACTTGTCGTACTTTACAGTAAAGAGCTTTTTTTCTCTATTAAAAAGAGCTTTATTTGTAAGATTCGACTTTTTAAAAGTAAAATATGTAATTAATACTAATCGATTTAAGGTATATATTATATTATGGGCCTCTGTTTACATATTTAAGATCTTTTTATAAATATTGCCTGAAATAAATGATTAATTTAAATAAAAAATAGAATTGACATTTAAAAATTTCTAAATCATTTTTTTCGGTAAATTGGTCTTTTGGACAAATAAGCACTGGACGACGTACTTTTAGTAACAAAATTTGCCAAAATTTATGTATTGTACCAAACATAAAAGAGAGGTCAGGACATCATTATATTATAATATTATCTTAAATTATCTGGCCTTAAAGTTTGATCATAATCGATTATTATCGAATCGAATGAGCACAATAAAAATACAGTTTTTTAATAATTGGATTTTTAATTTTTACAGCAAAACAAGAGTATTACAGACATAAAGGGTAGCTATTTGAAATCCCAGATCGATATTTGAATTTTAATTGTCAAATATATAGAATATTTGATTCGAATTCGCACACCTTCCAACAACTTCCTCGCAACAACTCAATACTGTCACTTAACCTCTGCGCAGTGAAATTTGTGACACAGTTCTAAATTTGCAACTTGACAATCGTTGCTTAAACAAACTGAGGGGTTCAAACGCTGAAATTTTATTAGTAAATTGTCGTTGGTTTCCAATTCTTTTATATATTTTTTAAATGATTTTCCTTTGTGACGTCATCTTTAAAATTATATTTAAACATAAAAAAAATATCGCATGCGCTCTCGAATCCGCGCTTACCTTACCTAATAAATCTGACTAAGGGCTATAAATAAAATGTAAGTAATGTAAGTCATAATTAGACGTAGAAGTAATGGTTTATTTAATTTAATGTAAATTAAATGAAGAAACTACTAATGCTACTTAAAGTTGAAAGTTCGATCTGAATAGCGTTAAAAGCTCTAGTAATGTGTGTACATGAGAAAAATAAACACATATTATATATATGGTTAATTCACAGAAACAAATAAAGTTATACATTTAGCTTTAGGCCATACAATTGTGTTAGTATAATTGAAACTACTACAATTGTCTAGCACAAATAATGTAATCAATCTAAACAAAAAGCATTTTCTTTATACTAAAAAGACTAGACAGTGAAAAAACAGCCTAAATGAAACTAAAGTAATTAATCTAAAAGCTTAGATGAAATAAATTCTAATTTTTAGGGTTTCGTACCCGAAGGTTGCCAACGAACCCTATTACTATGCCTTCGCTATCCGTCCGTCTGTCTGTCAGAGGGCTGTATCTCATGAACCGTAATAGGTAGAGAGTTCAAATGTTCAACGAGTATGTATTTCTATTGCCGCTATAACAACAAGTAAAATAAATAAAAATACATGAAATATTTTCTTAACGTACGTAATCGATCATCAAAGTTAATATACTACATACATAGAGTAAAAGGCATATTAATAAAAAGTATATGTACGATGATACGGAACCCTTCGTGTGCAAACTCGACTCGCACTTGACCAATTTTTATTTACCTTTATCTCTCTCGTTTGACTCTCGTTACACTAATTTCATTATAGCAAACTACCTCGCTCCGTACTTTGTTCTCAATTACGATCATTTTAGCTGCATTAGTTACAAATTGGAGCGTATCAAGTGATCAATCACTTTCATTTTTTTCTTCTTTACTGTCTCAGATCTTACTTCCAGTATTCTTTTCCCATACATCTTCAGTTACGTGACCTCATGTTTCATGTTGTTTTTTCTAATCACATCATCTGTAACAAAAATTAAAAAAAATTAAATTAATTTTGAAGCACTCAGTATTTACATGATATTTATATTCGTTAGCAAAATAAGTAAACGAATTAAATTGATGTTAATTTGTTCATAACATGTAGAGTATGAATACTTCAACAATTTGCACGTATAAAGACCATTTAAAGTAGATTTATACAGTGTTGTGAAGCTTTATACTTAGTGCACTTGATACATTGCGAATTTAAATTTTGTACGATATTTTTACATATAATTTTTTTTTTATATAGGTAAACTATATAATATAGTCTTTTTTGGTAAGGAAAAGAAATTTATGAGGAAATCTTTTCGTATTCTTTCTTTAAATTAAGTTGACGATTTAAAAGTGCTTATAATTAAATCTATTTGATTTCATTTCATTTGAAACATGCTCATGAGTGTGATTTTAGATTTTTGACGTATCAAAAGCTATTTACTATATAGATAGTTAACACCGTCTGTATTATCCGAAATAATAAAATAATAAAATCTGAAAACATAGAATAATTTTCGAAAGCCGTATAAAGTCTTCTAATTCATATGTGGTCACGTGATGACACATACTTGATCTCCCTCACATTATCGAGACCCACGCTTTACGTTACGCACTTCGTCGCTAAAAAGGGTTGAATTATTAAATTATTATTTACATTGAAGATATTTAATATTATTGAAAAATAGCATCATATAGTAAATTTCAGTGGTTAACGTCCATACGAAATCTTACCACAAAGCTATAAGATTAGCAAAGATAAAAGCTAATGATACATTTTATCTTTTAAAAGCTTTAAATCCGAAGCTTTGAGCAATGGGACAAGTCCGATGGCATAAATGGTGTTCTTAAAATTAATATATTATTTTCACATATTTAATTAATATTTTTAGTAGTGTAAATAATACTACATAATAATAAATAATCTTACTAATCTATACTAATATTATAAATATGAAAGATTGTGAGTATGGATGTTTGTTACTCATTCACGCCAAAACAGCCAAATGGAACTGAATAAAATTTGGCATAGACATAGGCTACTTTTCATTCCAGAAAAATGTACGGTTCCCGTGGGATACATTTGTGTTTCTAGAGGCAAACCCTTGCGAAGCGAGTGTGAGCTGCTAGTGTTGTGTGTATACTTGCTTGATATCGTTAGTAAGATTTTCAGGTCTAAACTTAATATAATTTTTGAAACATTCAATCTCAATACGATAAAATCTTGCCTTATGATAGTAGGCAAGAGTAGTTAATAGCAGGTCGTAAGCCAATCCTGAATAAAGGAATAAATAATCGTACGAAAAAGTTTCAAGGACGAACAAACAAAGCTATTATTTATTTTTCGACGTAAGAAATAAAAAGTTTTATTGCTTGCCATCTATAGGGTATAGTAAATTGTATGGAAAACTTGTTTACTATGTTGTGAGCAAAAATGGTATTAGGTGTGCCTGGTAACGTAGAGAATGTGAATTCGATTCTTGCGCAGTGTACATATTAATTAATACATACTAATATTATAAATGTGAAAATCTGTTAGTTCGTTTGTTTGTCCTTCTTTCACGTCAAAACAGAGTGATATATTGTCGTGATTTTTTACGTGGAGATAGTTGTAGGGTTGAAGAGTAACATAGATTACTTTTTACAGTGGGAGATTATCTCATTCTCACGAGAAAACACGTTATAATACAACCCAAAAAATATTTATAATCAGATTTACTTGAAACTTATAGATACTATGACTTGGAGAAACACATAGGCTCCCTAGTGCATAATATAATATGTAATATAAATATTATGTTAAGTATGTTGGGACATATTATAAATACATATTATAAATATAAACACCCATGACTGGAGTACATACATTCGTGCTCATCATACAAATGAATCATCCCAGCGGGACTTAAACCCGCGACCGCTGGCACAGTAAGTAGGGTCACTACAAACTGAGCCAAACGTGTCTTGAATTATAAAGTAAGCAAAATATATTATACAAAAACTAATTTAAACGTTACATCTAAGGATGTTACATGCAGCAACAATAAGTGAAATATAAAATATCTTTTGTAGTAATATTATTTCGCTTTAACGTTGACTGCGCTTGGCAGATTTATTGGATACTTTTATGGCTGAAAATTCCGCGCACATTGTAAAAAGCAAAAACTGTACCAGTTGTTATATGGGAAAGTATTTATTTGTTATATTAAAATAATTTTTTTTTAATTAAAAATATATAGAATTTGGAAGAAAGATCTTTATATCTATATTAATATCTTAAATCTTGAGGAAGGTTATCTAACATCTCTCTACGACTTTTAGGATCAAAGCAGCTATGTATAAATACTCAATAGACTAAGCAAAAAACATGTCAGTTCAGTTTTATAAAAGGAAGGCTTTAAAAACACTTGAAAAACCAAAAATATAATTGACATTAGCAAAATTCAGCAAAAAAGTTACTCGATTGCAATAAATAAAAATATAACGTGAAAGTCTAGTCTAGTTATTATAAAATACTAGCGACTCATCCTCACTTCGCTTCGGGTTTGTTCTAGACAAAAAACAAATCTATCCCACGGGAACCGTACATTTTTTCTCGATGAATAGTACCTATGTACTAACCCAGACTATAATATCAATTCTGTGCCAATTTTTATGCAAATCCGTTCTGCTGTCCTGGCGTGAAAGAGTAACAAACATCCATCCATCCTCAAAAACTTTTGCATTTATAATATGAAATGCAAATAAGATTTTTCAAATCAGCTAGATTAAAATCTCAGAAAGTAGCTAGTCTCAGTAAATCTTGTAAACCTAACTGAAATCCGTTAGGAGGACGTTATCTTCGACTACTTGTACCATCTGTCACTAAGTAATCGAATCCTGGTACAAATGACTTGGCGAAATGCTAATGTCAATAATATTAAAAAAAATGCTAAATCCTCTACTAACAAGATAATCTAAAGATTAAATTTGTCCATTAAGCAATAACG